CTTACATTCCTTGAGAATTTAAATATAATTAAAAATATTCTCCCAATTAGATATCTAAATAATTATGTTCAAGTGATATATTGCATTGAATATAAAAAATATTATATAAATACCTGTTTTATATTGAGCATTTAAATGATAAATTTGATTTTGAACTTTAGAGTATAATAGACCTACAACATAAATGGTAGTTTGAAAATTATAATTTTTTATTATGATTAAATCATATTTTTTAATAGTTATATTAACATATATCAACGACAATGAGTTATGTATTACACCTGTACAAACGTTAAGAGGTGTAAGAGTAATATTTTAAATGTAAGAGGATCCAAATGATTAAGTAACAAATATAAGAGGGTTTATGTATAATTTACCCAACTAATTTTAGACGGCAAACTGATCCCTGCTAGTTTTAGGTATGTATTGATATAAATTTATATATTTGAGGGTATAAATTAAAATTTTTTATTTTTAAATGTACAAATTAAAATTTAAAAGACCTTTCCAGATATAATTTGTGATTTCTCTAAATATATCGTGGATCAGGGTGTCACGTAACACTAAAGTTATCCTTTTGGATGTGATCTCATAGGCCCCATTTCGATGAGATATAGATATGTTTGGTAGCTTGGGCTAAGGAACTTAAATGCTACCGATCACAATACTTATCTATATCTTGCATGATTAGTAGATTTTAATTTGAGTTGAATCTGAATTCAAGTCTAATTAATTTAGATATGTTTTAATATTTTTAATTAATATTTTAAATTTAAATATTATTAGTTATATTGTTATTCATATATACTAGTTTAGATATTATATTTAATATTAGGAATACGTTATTTGGACGTAATTTGAGAACCTTATTTAGGGGTTTAGTGATGTATAACATTAGTTTGATTGTAGGCTCTATCTAACATTAGAACTCACAACTAATTCAATAATTATATTGAAGTCACATCATTAGGCCCCTAAATAAACTCTCAAATAAAGTCTCTCTAGTATTGCTTTTTATTTTGTTGCGATTCGATCCTAATTATACTTATAAATATCAAAATGTGACAAAATTAGGTGGTTTTTTACCATAATTGAATTAAAATTAGGTAGATTTGGCGAAAGGTACATAATCGTATACTTTTAAGACAAAAAGTTCAACTTACACACTTTTAAGGTGAAAGGTCCATTAAATATGCAGTTGATCAAAATACCCTTAGCAAAAAAGGAAATATTATTTGAACTTTATTTTGAGATCTAATGATATATAATCATTGAATTAGTTGTGGATTTTATTTAATATTAGAATTCATAATTAATACAATGATAGCATTAAAGCCGCGTCACTTTTTTTTTATATTTTTTTATTTTTTTGGATTGGTGAACATGATAGTTTCAACATCAACATTCATTTTGTCTCCGATCAAATAAAAAAAGCATCAACATTCATGGCAAATGAACTTTTGGATAAGGATGAAAATGTACATTGTACCCCGTGGTCGTCGGTCTTCTAGTACTTTCATTTCATGAATTATGTATGACGCATTTGTTTCTAGAAGATATGATTTGTTTTTTTCTTACGTAATCATAACATATATATGATTTGGATCATCTCCCTAATAAGAGAATAACTATGGGCGCACCTAAAATTATATTCCTTTCGTTCTTAAATATCTATCGTTTTATTCAATTTTTTTTGTTTCACAATATCTATCGTTTTATGAAACAAAAATATAATTAATATTTTTTTTTTCAAATTTACCCTTATCTTTGTTTTCTAATAAGTGCTTAATAAATTAAGTGTAGACTAAGTGTCTTTCATATTATTTTTCTTTTCAATACGTATTGAATAAGAATATTTTAGTATTGTGTAATTATTTTTTACTCATAATAGAGCTATTTAATAGTTTTCTTAATCTCTGTACAAAAATCTTAAACGACAGATATTTAGAAACGGAGGGAGTAATATTTAAATATAAAATTATATTTTTTAAATTGTCTAGATTACAATTAAAAGATATATTTTTATTTTTATTTTTATTTTTTTTTGAATTGAGGGATTCAAATTTAACACGACCCACTAACAAAACATTTAATTAGAGCGCTTGTGTCTTTCCTTAAGTCACACGTTTTGTAATTGGAATGGCTTCTAAAACATTTTTCCTTTAGCCACAAAATAAAGGTCCACCTAAGCAGCTAGGTACTGTTTTGCTTAAAACCATACGATTTGGTACCAGTTTACAGCAGGAAAATGGCTTTTTTCTCAATTCTAAATTTAAGAGTTATTATAGATATTTAAATATTTACTCTCTAAAAAAGAGTCAAATGTAACCCTATTTTTAATAGATTTTTGGTTAACAAACTAAAATATAATAAAATAGATTGACAATACCAAAAAATATATAGCTCAAATAAGTTAGATTAGGATAATATAAGTCAGATAAGACAGAATAAGTTAACATACGTCCAATCGAGTAAGTCAGGTTAAACCAACTCAAGTCAAGATAAGACAACTCGATCAAACCAGCTCAGGTTAGGATAAGACAGTTTGGCTAGTTTAGTTCGGTTAGACTAGGTTAAGTTAGGTCAATCCAGGCAAGTTAAGTTAATTCCAATGAATAATTATTAAAGTCAAGCAATAAGATTTTAGAAGATGACAACCAACATGGAAACTATTAGCAATGTGAGTTTAATTGCATACTTTTTAGAGATAACTTTGACTTAAAAATAATTTAAAAGTGACTACATTAATTAGGGGGAGTTCCATTTTGCACCCGAAAAGATTTTAATTTTTTTAAAAAAATTTTGTACATTAAAAGAAAAGTTTTTTTTTATATTATACCTTCAATCTATTAAAAGTTGCAAGATAACCCTTTTGTTATATTTTGTCACTTTTTTTTGTAAAAAGTTACCTTATTAAATGTTAACAAAATAAGTAATAAAAACTAACGGAATGGTTATAATGTAATATTTTTAATGTATTAAAAGTGTAATATAAAAATTTTTATTTTAAGAGTATATAGTGATAATTTTTAAATTTTTTATAGTCTGTTCGGTTTGGTGGAAAAGTCGGTGGATGAAAAATGGTGACTAGAAAATGACGTTTTCCTTTGTTTGGCATGAGTGGAAAATTGAGGGGTAAGGAAAATTAGGTGGAAAACATATCATTTGGGGCTACCATTTTCAATCACTCCACAAATGGGAAGAAAATGTACGCAAGGAAGTTTGTAACCCACCTATTTTGTCATTTTTTATGTACAAGTATACCAAATTAGTGGGTCCCACATCAAATTGCAAAGTATATTTCGAAAAATCGTTCGAATCTCAATTTTCTTCTAAAGATCAAAAATCTCAATTTGTATCTTCAAAAATAAAAATTTGTATTAATGTATACCACCAATATCAAAAATCTCAATTTACATTCTCAAAGATAAAAAATTATATCAATATGCACCTAAAATTAACTGTTGTCAATTTGCTATCTGAAAACTAAATTGATAAATTATACTTAGATTCTCTCATGCTTGTCACTTAATCATTTGGACCCCTTCACAAAATATATAATAATATGAAATTATAAATTTTTATTATGATAAAATCATATTTTTTAACGGTTATAAAATCTTAATAAAAATACTTTAAATTTAAAATGTCTCCCCAATTGGGCATTCAAATAATTATGTTTAAGTGATATATTGCATTGTATATAAAAAATATTATATAAATACTTACATTCTATTAGATATTTAAATGATAAGCTTAATTTTGAATTTTAGAATATATCGAACCCACAAAATAAAAGGTAATATGAAATTATAATTTCTTATTAGGATTAAATCGTATTTTTTAACGGTTATATTAACAGATATAATTTTTTATTAGGATAAAATTATATTTTTAACGGTGATATTAACAAATATTAATGAAAAGGGATTACATGTTACATGTGCACAAACGTTATGAGATGTAGGAGTAATATTCTAAATGTGAAGGGGTTCAAATGATTAAGTGACAAGCATGAGAGGATCTATGTATAATTTATCAATTTAGTTTTAGGTGCACATTAATACAAATTCCTATTTTTGAATGTGTAAATTAAGATTTTTATCTTTGAGGGTGCACATTGATACAAATTTATATATTTAAGGGTATAAAATGAGATTTTTTATCTTTGGAGGTGTAATTTGAGATTCTAACTATCTTTCAGGGTGTAATTTGTAATTAACCTTATAAATTTATATATTTGAGGGTGTAAATTAAGATTTTTAATATTTAGGGGTGCACATTGATACAAATTTCTATTTTTGAGAGTGTAAATTGAGATTTTTGATATTTGAGGGTGTACATTGATATAAATTTATATTTTTGAGAGTGAAAATTGAGATTTTTTATTTTTGAGGGTGCAAATTGAGATAATTTTTTTGAACAAATAAACTTTTTTGCCTTTAAAATATATTTATATGAAAAATACTATTTATTCTAAATTTCTATTTCAAATAAAGGGGATCATTGGATGAGTAGGTCTCATCAACTTTTTTAAATAAGACTCACTAATCCAATAATCCTCTATGATTTGAGATAAAAAATTAGAATACATAACATTGCTCTATTTATTTATATATAAGGATATAATAATAAATTAAATACATGTATTTTTTATTTTTTTCCACTTTTTCTTTCATTCGCCGTACTAAACACAAACGAGGGATAGTGATTTTCTTTCCTCCGAAGATGAAAAATTTATCACTCACATTTTTCTATTCTTTCAATTTTTTTTTATTTCTGTCAATCGGAATATTATTTCTATCGAACGGAACATTAGAGTGGAAAGCACAATTCGCCCTATTTAAGGAGGAAAAAGTTTAAAAATAAAGCTAGAAACGGTAAAAATTCCACAAGACCATGTCGGTGAGAAGTTGAAAAGACATCTGATCGCCAACGGTCTAAAAGGAGTAGACCCTTGGAAAATCACATCTCTGTCTCTCTATCTCTGTTTGTGTGCAATGGCGAAGAAGAAACGCAGAGTGCCGGAGGTTCTGTGGAGACTTTTCCACAACCGCGCTCGTCCCCTAGCCGATACGATCATATCTCTGATTTCATTGTCATCGTTTGAATGCCGGTGCAAGGTTCGGGGATGCCTCGGTTGCGCCGGCGACGAAGCGATGTCGTTTCTTCGTAGGCCGGACGATCCCTCCGACTATCACAAGCTACTGACTCAGTGCTACGTTGTTGTCTCCGACAATGCGCCTCCGTTCTCGGTGTTTGATCCCGCCTGTCGGTGGTCACAACTTGAGGTCTCTTTAATTATTCTCTCTCTCTCTATACACGTGTGTGTCAGTGTGTGTGTGTGGTCATATATGTCTCTCCACCCCAAGTTGATGAAAGTTTTGCATTCTTGATTTTGGCGGGAAAATTACATAAATCTTGATCTTGATATTGTTCTTGGCGGGAACAATCGGAATCAAACACAAAAAAGTTTACCAAAGAAACTAAAAGTTTAAGTGTCTTGCTCACCATCTATGAATACATACATAGCTAGAGTTCCTTTATCTGTTGATTTGCGATGTAGCTATAATCTATTAATCTACCTACTTCTGTATATCGAGCGACAAAGACTACTTCTTTGATTTATTAAAAGTATTGCATGTGCATGTTTAGAAATCTGACGAGTCTTTTTCACCAGATTCTCTAATTTTGAGATGTCTCCATATCTGTAGTTTAAAGTCCTATGGGCTCTTGGGAAACAATATTAGAAAATGGGGGCGAGCTAACGAAACCTAGTTCTTGCCAGACTTTGTTGGTTAGGCTATCATCTTAATTGAAACATAAACCCTTAGGGGGTTGGGGGAAGGGTCAATACTCACATCAATACTGGAACATGAAACGATCTGAAAATGTGACCGGCTAGTTTTGTTTATCCAAGCTTTTAATTTTCCATTATTGTTGGCCCCTGGAATTTTTAATTTATGCAATCTTGCAATATAATTAACCATATCACCTTTTTTCCCGTTCATGGCTTGTATGGAGGCATCCAATTTAAATATATAACACTCATTGGTATCTATAAGAATTGAACCACTGACCAGCGTTCTTCTTCTATTTGTTTACCTACACTTTCATCACCTTGTTTTAAGGGCTTTGGCTTGTATGATTTACTCTTTTATTGGCTGCCTTGCTTGAGAAATAGGTTAATGAAAATGGAGATGAACTGGAAAAACGTCTGATATTGTTTTTGGATCGAGCGGAAAAGGGATATATGAAGTTCGTTCTATTCCTCTGTGCGTCTATGTGATGGGTAAATCTCCATGAAAAAGGGCCAAATTTCGTGTAGTCTGTGATTGGATATGTTTCACCAATCATTTTCCTGTTGGGCTTGGTATTGAGGTGCCCATGTGATTGACTACTTCAAAATAACATTCTTGATCTGTTTCTTTGAGATGCTTTCCATTTGTGTTGCCTTACAAGATCAAGTTGCTGTTCACACTAAGGTTATTTTGTTGTGATTTTACAAACACTCATATTGCTTCTTGGAGCTTGAGGGCAAAAGTAAAGCACTATATACTTGCGAACTTTTTCTGTGATGCTTTTTAAATGGTGCTGATTGATTATATTCGTATGAGTCTTGCATACCTAGTCTATGGTTTTATTTTTACTAGTTCTTGTTTCAGATTGTTAGGAGGTCTATTGAAATGATAATGCGTGAGCAGCCCACATCTTCTAATGTGATATGCAGTGGCTATGACAAGGCAAGTAATCATCATTATTGCAGGAACTTTTTTTTTTATGCCTTTTTGTTTCTATCAGCAAGTTGAAATTTTCTTAGTCAACATTTTTAAAGATTTATTTTAATTATTATTGATTTGCTGCAAATAAATTATGTAGTTTTGATGCTATTTCCCTTCTTTGATTGTTCAAATTGCTATTTTAAATTTTTTGAACATGCAGGATAGATCCTATGTTCCACAGTTCTGTTAATCCCATTCAAATGGAAATCATTGTCCCTTCCCTTTCTTATTTTGCCAAACTATTCATATGTCATCATTCATTGTTTTAGTATTATTGATAGATATTTTTCTATTTCTGACATGACCTTGTTTTTGTGATGATATTTATGCATCAAGACCATGCTATTAACAAGAGTTGTGACATTCATATTAATATTACTATTGACTATTTTTGCTGAAGAATATGTAACAGCTTGTCATTTAAGTGGGAGTGACTTCAACTCTTCAATAATCCTTGTATTTTGTGGTGATGATTTCATTTATATCGGACAGCACAGCCGTTCAAGTGCCATTGTTGAGCTTTTAACATGTTCAGCATGGGGACTTTTCTTAGCACGGGTATGTTCATAGTTGCTTTTATCTGTCTTTTTGCTTGGAAAAGTATGTTCATACATGTATATATGTATGTTTATATGTATGTTTCTCCTTTCGTTTGTATAAGTGTATGCATATTGTTGATGATGGGGGTCAAATTCCATGGTATGCAGGTTGGTGATGGGATAATGTCTTATTTACTGAAGTATTCGTCAATATTTTTGCCCCTTTCTCGTAAGAAATACCATCAGGTGGCTGGTTTTTCTACCAGTGATTTGTGCTTCAATTACTCAAAGCATATATCAAAGATTGAGTTTCAGCATCCTCCACTCGTCCTTCTTGGTAAACAGTATTTGAAATCTGGTCGTCGCTTGAATTTCCGATTTGCTGTGCATTTGTTCTGATTAACTTGAGAAAAATGTACTGAATCTAGCCTTTTTCTCTTAGCAAATAGTTTGGAGTACTGGGAAATGCTTTGTCGGGTTTCCAGTTATATATTTTCTGAATTAAGTTAATTTGAAGTGTGAAGAGCAACACAATTTCATTATGCTCACTTTTATTTGTCCAAGTGAAAAAAATCAGAGCTGGAGCATCTGTTAACATGAATCCATGTTTGTCACATGTGCTTAACAAACTGACTCGGTTGCTTTTGAAAAAACTATGGACCTAATTTTGTAGATGGTTCCGTATAATGTAATCATTCATCATACGGTATACTTTAGCCAACAAATATATGTAAAGAATATATGAATTTATTTCATCAGAATTGTATGGTTGTTCCTTACACAAAAAATGTCTTGGCTTTATATTCGCAGTTACGTACAACATGATGACTTAACTTGTAAGAAATACCATCAGGTGGCTGGTTTTTCTACTAGTGATTTGTGCTTCAATTTCTCAAACCATATATCAAAGACCGAGTTTCAGCATCCTCCACTTGTCCTTCTTGGTAAACAGGATTTGAAATCTGGTTGTCGCATGAATTTCTGATGTGCTGTGCATTTGTTCTGATTAACTTGAGAAAATGTACCTGAATCTAGCCTTTTTCTCTTAGCAAATATTTTGGAATACTGGGAAATGCTTTGTCGGGTTTCCAGTGATATATTTTCTGAATAAGTTAATTTGACGTGTAAAGAGCAACACAATTTCATTATGCCCACTTTTATTTGTCCAAGTGAAAAAAATCAGAGCTGGAGTGTCTGTTAACATGAATCCTTGGTTGCCACATGTGCTTAACAAACTGAATCGGTTGCTTTTGAAAAAACTATGGACCTAATTTTGTAGATGGTCCCCTATAATGTAATTGTACACTCAATCATTCATCATACAGTATACTTTTGCCAAAAAATATTCGAATTTATTTCATCGGAATTGTATGGTTGTTCCTTGCATAAAAATGTTTTGGCTTTATATTTGCAGTTATGTACAGTGGTGAAGCCATTTATTCTTCTATTTGTTATTGGCTTTGCTTTCTAGAAATTGGTTTTCTGTTTTAATCGGCTGTAGGGCATTCTTAATCCCAGCCCCACCCCCCGACTATTTAATTATGTTTGCTAAAAAAGTTAGTCATATGATTGCCATTTCTTCTGCTCAACTTGACTTTACTTGAATTATAGATCTTGGGTTGCTGCATAGTGTTTTGTCATAAACTTGTTTCTCTTCTCTTACCACATCAAGACATATATTAATTCAAGAGAAGATAAATTGGAAGAGGAGGAGAAGAAGAAACTAGGAATTCCATTTAAAATATCATCAGAATCACCTCTCAAAGACATGGAAAGCTCAACTGGTGCTCAAGATTCTCTACTCTTCATTTGTAGACAACCTTTGTTGATGATTTCTGCTGCTGGACTCAAACATAATAAACATAGTAACTCGACAGTCTCTGTTGAGATTATAGATAAACATAAATGGTCACATTAACAACCTGATAAGGTATCTGACCCAAAATGAGACCCATTGAACCACTGATATATCATGATATTCCAGAGTATCATTGACTTATAAAGCATAATATTGACCTAATGTTAGACTTTATGCACACCAAAACATGATGCCTTAAGTTGAACCCATGCGTTTCTGTTTGTCCTTTTTCTTTGTTGATTGGCAATGATGAGGGTTAAACCCTTGACCGAAAAAATCTGCCCCAATTTTTCCTTATTAACATGCCTTGTGTCAATGCCTCAGAGGTTGTTTGCTAGGGATTGCGTTTGGTGGGTTCTATGATTGAAGCCCACAATTGGAGCATGGAATCTTAGTTTTGTGACCAAATAACTACCGTTTATGTTCAGGACCTTGGCAAGTGCAATTTGATTCTTTTGAATTTGGTGACTTGCACACACCTAGATCTCAGCATGGATAGCTTTGGTAGGATTTTTTTGTGACTGTTCAAGTTTATAAACAGAATTTTAAATCTCTACATGCTTGGTTGAGTCAGAGAATTTTTTTGTAGAGAAGTGGAAGAAGAACAACTCCGCATAAAAGGAATGGTTAATTGTAGGCTGTGCAACCTGGATTATAGATATGAACGAGGAATTAATTATGACCCTCCCCTACTGCGGTACATTACTCTCTTGCTTTACGTCAAGATACCTGAGCCATAATGAACCTGCATTTGCTCTAGTTGCTTCTTGTACCGCTCTCACCTTGCTGCTATCTTTTGATTGATGTTCTTCTTGAAGCATTCAAATGGAGTGGGTTCATTTTTTTTTCTTCTTGTTCGTGTTGTGTCTCCCTTAACAACTTAGGTCTAGTTGCTTCTTGTACTATTCTCACCTTGCTGCTATCTTTTGATTGACGTTCTTCTTGAAGCATTTGAATGGAGTGGGTTCATTTTTTTCTCTTCTTATTCAAGCTATGCGTGTCTGTTTGTGTGGGGCTGCTATCCTAAATTAATCTTTATTGAAGCCATTATGTCTTGAAGATTGCCCAAATATTGTTTTTTATTAATTTGAACAGGTGTTATTCAATGTAGAACTTTCAGGGTTTCCAAAGAAGAGGAAAAGAGTTGATGAAGTAGACTCAGCGTCAGAGAACTGGCAACCTAGTACTTATTTTGGTGTTGATGTTCCATACAGTTCTGTTAATTGTGCTGGCTGTAGTGGCAGAAGCTGTTCAGTTTCATTTAGTGGCGACTGCAAGAAAAAGTTCTGTGAAGAGAGTTTATATGAAGAAGCTTCTGTAAGCAATGGAGCTGATGATGCTAATAATAAAGGGGATCCTAGTAGGAATTGCCAAGAAAGCTTAAATCAGAGTCTTGCAAAGACAAGGAAGCGTTTCAGATGGTATAGTTGGCGACGGCATAGAAAGCGAAAGCAATTGACATACCATGAGACCTTTTCTTTGATCCCTTGCACGAGTAGTCTCATGAACAAAGAAAGCCTAAGATCTTGCCCTGAAAAGGTGACTTTCGCTGAAGTTTATTTGCTTTGTTTTCAGTTTGAAACTGTAAGCAGGCTATTGGTGGTTTGCCATGTGGATCTTTAATTTATGTTTTCATCTTGGGCATGAGTTATGGAACATCATAATATAAGTGTTGCTTATATAACCTTGTTGAAAATGTTGTGGTTGAACGGTGATAGAAGTACTTCACAAGTTAATTCTGTTTTCATTTAATGCTTCTTAGATTTTATGTCAATGTAGATTTAGACAATAAAGTTTGAAGTTTGAAAAAGACTAGGGGAGATATATTTTTGAGCATTACTAAAATTAGATAAATTAAATGAGGAACTACATGTCTGAATGTAATGTTGGTTAGTGTTAAACATGGGAGATTAATTTCTTGTCCTGGAAAATCTGAGAGATGGAGTTTTGGTCTAGGGGCTGTATATTATATAGAATTAATTTTTCAAATGTGTGCTCTGGTCAAATCTTCTTTTATTTTCTCTTTATAAAATATTGTTTGAAGTTAATTGCTTGGTTTGATGGTAAAAGTCAAAGGTTTAAGCTTGGGAAAGTAGATTAGATTTCTTAGCAGCAACTTCTGGCCAATGAAGTTTGAGGTTAGGTTTGTAGCCTGTCCAGTCAGCCGACCACCTATTGACAGTAGCATCTTTGATTCTCATCCAACAACAGTAGTAGTGGGTACTAATGGTTATTACTTTTTAAGTGGATTTGTATATTATGGTAACTTGCTAAAATTTCATAAAGCATGTTACGATCGGATTTCAATGGGGATTGTTGGGTAAAATGGAACCCAGGACAGTTAGCACACCTATTTCTCAGTAGTACATTTTATTCAATATCTTGTGAATTTTGGTTGATTTCCATTGTCTACTTGAGTATGGGATCTCTGATATGCATATATTTGATCAGTACTGCATTTCAGTGTTTTGACAAGTGTCACAACATAGATTTGCTTATTGCCCAGGCAAAATCTTATCGAAAGATTTTACATGTTCTATTGCTGTAAGCTTCGACTTACACAAATATTTGTCAAATCTTTCTGTGTAAATGCATCTGGAAATTTATCTATAGTTGACACATTTGTTCGCTTCTGTAAATGTTCATATATCCAATTGTGGGTAGAGAAGGTGGACAACAATGATGTATCAAGTTTCCACCTGCACTCTCAAAAGCTAAAGTATTATTACATCCCCTCAATATTTGCTTTATTTTACACCCTGAAGAACCCCAATTATTCTCACACACACACACACACACACACATATATATGTGTGTGTGTGTGTGTGTGTGTATATTGTCCTCAGTTTTCTAGGAAGGATCCTTGAACTGTTCACAACATCTGAGAAAAGCTGCAAACCATGCCTAAAAAACCTTCATTAAAGCCTTTCTACAATCAACTTTATCCTTGAATTGATCCTGAACTTGTATTATCGTAGGAAGGATCCATTGTACTCTTCTTCCCTGTTTTTGTATTTTGTTCTTAAAGCTCCTTTGTGCATCTCAACATAAGAATATCAGTTATGTGTGTAAATCCTAAGACATCGAGATCAAGGAATTAAGGAAAAGATTAATATTCTTTCAGACGCTCTATAGGAGTAGGAATAATATCTAAAACTTACTTGCTTCTATATTATCTCCTACGAATCCCATGTTGAGTGGGCCTTCAGAGAATATTGCTATGCTGGAGTCCCTCACCATAGTAGGGTGTGACCTTTTAATTGAAATTCCATTTATGTGAATTTCCTGATCTTAACAGAAATCATGTAATTGATATACTAAAAAACACGGAGGATTTACTTTATTTAGAACTATATTGATGCCCCCACCTTCTCATTGAGGAGAGTGGATGTTAATGTAAAGCGACAGAGCAAATGACATCTGTAGATGCTTTCAAAACATCATTCATTCAGCATAATATTTTTCTAGTTTTTTTGTGTCTGCAGATGCCTTCACAGTGCTCTTGTTGTTTGGTGTTGCAAACTCTCCGTGGTGTCAAAGAATGCTCTCAGATTAATAGGCAACCCTTGTTCTATAATTTGGAACGCTCTTCATACGTTCTACCGAGAAAACGTATCCTCTTTTACCACTTCCGTATCATATACTAAAATGCTAACTCAGCTTCTGTTTTATTTTCAAGTATTACTGAATCATCATCATCATTATTGTCATGCTATATTTTCCGTCCACGAAGTAGATCAATGTATCAGCATCAAGTTGATCTTCCATAACCTGGAAATATTCACTCAATAAACTCCTTTGCAGGCGTGTAACTCTCCCTTTTGTTTTCATGCTTTCCAACTTGGCTTATTTTTTTTTTTCTTAAATTTTTTATTGGGTCCTATTGCACTTTCTTTGGTGGGAATGAATTTGCATACCACCTTAACTATTTACAGACATATTAAATTCTCTGAAACCCAATCTTTCTGATGCAAATGTTCTGTTCAAGGATATCTTTGGCTTATCTGACAATAATATTACTGCTCAGTCAGTCACATGCTGCCACAGTAATAGTTCGTGTCTCATTGGATTCACCTGCATGTAAGTGGTGGAGCAGTGGTCAGGTTATACTTGATTATACACATACTGATTTTGTATTTAAACACAATCTATCTTGTTATTTTTGCTTTGGCTGCCATCCATTGCTTCGTGCAGTTTGGTCTTCACCCTCTATCTTCTTAATGCTGTGAAAGACATAGTTATCGAAGGCTGTATATATATCATTATTGACCACTTATACCGGAAACTCTGCAGGCAGGAGCAAATAAGAGTTGTTTTTGAGATGTTTCTGTCTATTTGTGAATAATGTGGACATCTGGAATAATCTTTATGTCATATGTAAGTTTTGTGAGAGTGGTAAGGCTATAAAGGGTATGAGTTAAGTTGCTGAACATGCGTTTCATGCAGTTTGTAGATTTATATTTACAGAAGCCTTTTTATGTAATGTTATCCATGTTTACTAGCAGAGGCTATCCTTTATTGAATAGCACAAGAACAAAACTTCTTGTGTATGGATAAAAGTTTGGAAAGTCCTTGGGATACATGGTTGTCATCCCAGATTTTGATAGAAGTTATAGATACGTTTTTAATGTACTTGCAAATTATCAAAAGTATGCGCAAGGAAACTTTTGCTCTATATGTTATCAGATTTTAATAGAGATTTTGGGGGGGGGGATATTGCTAAGATATATAAACAGGTTGAATACATGAAAGGGTTGAAAGTATATAGAGCAAAGCGATGCAAACAATTGTATGGAGCATAGTTATTAGTATCGTATAATACGCGATATGTATCAAATGATATGTTACGATACACCTTAAAAACGATATGTATCGTGTCTTTGTATCGTTATTGTACCGTATCGTACGATACACGATCTGATGCATACGATACAATACGTCCGATCCATGACAATCCTGTTTTTTTTTTTTTTTTGGGCTGAAATGACATTATTTTACTGTAGGACGTATTGTTAAATCACTAGCCAGTGAAATATCGTCATTTCAGTGGTTATGGTTTAAAAAAAAAAAAAAAAAGTCTATTGTTAATGTTTATCAATTGAATTCATAATTTCTAATTAATATTAAGGTTGTTCAAGCAGTTAATATTAAAAGTTTGAATTAGAACTCTTTGCATTTCGATATTATTGAACTATGTTGGGAATTTTGAATAGTTGGTAGAATATTAATGAAATGCTATGTTATTATAAGTCTATGATTTTCTTACAAAGGTGTAAATATATATATAAATATATATATATTAATTATTTTTTTAAAATTAAAATTGCACATATCTTATGATACATGATCCACGATACGATACATGATTTTTAAAAAACGAGACACCTTCTGATATGCGATTTGACAATTATGGTATGGAGAGCTTTGTTGTGAGCGAACAGTAATTTCAGGAATTTGTTTGTTTAGCCAGTGATTTGTTGTCACTTGTGGTTATGTAAGTGAACAATTTACTGGTTTTCTTATCTTTTCGTCACCCCCCTTCTATAATTATGCTTTTCTTGCATTTTCTGCTTCTTTGTTCTTCTCATATTTTTTCTTCCCATTTGTTTTAGCTGGTTTATGTTCATATTTAAGTCATGTTCCCCTTCCTCCTTTTGAGTTTTCTGTTTAATTCATTGTTCTTGGTTATGCAGATATCACTCGTTTGTTAAGTTGCTTAAAATTCTTATACACAAGGCTCAATGTTGCCAGCATTTGAGGTTACTGGATAAGCACTGTCTCATTCAATCCTTAAATCAATCCACTAATGAACATGATGGCTCCATGCTTGAGGTTTGTACTCAACTGAAAGCTTCTATGCTTTGTTTGTTTGTTAAGCCATAGCAGGATGAAAAGGGAATTTGGAGTCATTAATAATTTATAAACCTTTCTACCTTAAGTGTCTGTGAGATGTATTGTAAACCTTTCTACCGTTAAGTTTCTGTGAGATGTAAGCTCAGAATTCCATATTCTTCCTGGGTCTGTATGGTAACCAAAGGGAGCATTAAGCCACGTATTTTGCTCCATTGTGGTGTAAACTTCTCTGCATATATCTTGATGGAATTAATTTTCTAATTTCTGCTTGGATTGATCTATGCTTAGTATTGACTGCTAGCTAATTCTCCAATGTATGTGGTTATTCTTCTTCCATTTTTACCTCATGCTTGATCTTTCAGAAATTTCTACTTTTCATGCTGGTTATGGTTTTTTCTAGACAACGTGCTGAACTCCATTGTTTAGTAGTATTCCTTGATGGCTATAATTGTTTATTTTTTATTATATCTTTTTTTTTTGGAAAGGGGAAGAGGGAGGGGGGGGAGGGGGAGGGGGACTTGAACCCTTGACCTCAGGAGGATAAAGCCTTCCCAAAGTAAGGAATACCATTGGACCAAAGGCCCATTGGTTAATTATTGTTAGCTAGAACTTACTTAAACTTATTTTTCCAACTTGTACTAATGTTTGGCTTGATAACACTTGCATTTTTATTATTCTTTTACGTGTGACTTAATGAAATAAAGGACTTGCTTGGGTTGATAGGTTTTTTTTTTTGTTATTGTGTTCCTTGAATAAGAGACCTAAAACCAACGGCTTTTGGTCCAATGATATTCTTTGTCTTATGAAGGTTTTGCCAGTTCAAGTCTCCCTCATTGTCAAATATACTTTTGAATCTGCTATTGCATATGCTGATCTATTTGTAGCATGAATGCAAAGCTCTCAAATTGCTAAATTATGAAATTCACTTTACGTTTCGTTGTTAAAGTATTTTTGCGCAACTTAGTTTTCAACTGAGAAAGCAATGCACAACTTACAGCTTGATTATTGTGCAATCTGACTCAACCCTTGGCATAATGTGATATATGGCTTTAACCAAGGATCAAAATTTTGTTTCGGTGCATTGTTTCGGTCATTTAAGAGACGGAAAACATTTTGACCCGTTTTGAAAACAAAATGAAAAAAAATAAAAGATTTAAAAATTATTTTTTCAAAACATTGGTCGAAATATACCAAAATATCATGAAATACTTTAAAATATTCCAAAATAATTGTGCAAATGCATTGAAATATAACAAAATATTATGGAATACTTTGAAATATTAGAATTTTGATTTTGTCATTAATTCGTTTTGGTCTTCTTGGAAACGGAAACGTTTCGGATGTTTTGACCTTTTCGACACGATATTTTGATCCTTGGGCCTTCAATGTTACCGTCATTTCTATGTAGGATGTGTGTTTTGATGTAGGAGTAGCTACGTGAAAATTGAAAGCACCTTTTTCCCCTAAAGATGGCCTTGCTGAAATTGATATGAAGTCTAGAAATTTTTTTAGAATCTTGTTGGAACACTTGTTTTTGTAACAAAAAATCAAAGGACAGAAAACATTATTATGTTCAGTTACTCCAGTAATCTGAAAATCCATTAGAATAGCAGTGGAAAGGCTAGACAACCTAGTAGGGTAGTTTCAGATCCAATCTATGTTTTTCATGTGGTTACAGGTTTTACTCCCTGCTTAAGGTTGTTAACCCTAACCTTTACTTTACAGCTATAGGAAGCCCCCCACCCCCCACCCAACCCACACACACACACACAAAAAAAAAAAAAATACAAAAATAACTATATGTTTTGATCTCTAATTGTTGAATAAGTAGTTAAAAGATGTATATCCTTCCTATTTCCTTGATTAGAGACATTTATAGTAGTTTCAATTACCCTGGAATCTTACTTTTGCTCTCCCTTTGAAAGAATTCTTTTTCATTTTTTTGGATAGCTTTTAGAAAGTAAAGGCTAGTCTGAAAGTTTGGGCTGTTGTATGGTCAATTGGTTAAAGGAAGGTTGCCAAATGAAGACTGTGGCCTACATATCTGTTCCCTTTGCTAAACAAGTAACAAAACATCAAACCATCAGATTCTTTACCCAGATCTTACACTTTGTGAAAAAATATCTCCCTATCTTTTATTGGTCTTGATGTGAGTTTCCTTGGAGTACCCGAAAGGGCCGAATCCTCTGGCAATAGTTTTTTTGGGAAAATGGCACTGCCCAAGGGTGCTTAAGTTCCTTGTGCTGGGCTCTCCATCATGAAATTATATTAGTGGAGCTTCATTGAGTATTACCCTGAGAAACTTGATGGCAATCACCTTTTTGTGCCTTATAAAATTCTTTTAATGTTTGGGGTTCTCCTTTTGGGTAATAACTGAATAAATTGGGACATAGAAGGACATTGAGGGAGATACAATTTTTCTTTTTCTCTCCATGCTGATCTGAACAGGTTTTGCCATAATTGCCGAGTTTTTTGTTCTTGCTGAATCCTCGGGCAGTGGCTTCTTTGGAGCTGTTTAGTCTTGCAATTTATTTTTCCTTCCTTATTCCCAACTTTTTATCGCTTTAATGCCATCTGGATTTCTTGGAATAATGTGGAAGCAAAGGTGGTGATTTTTCTGTCTTTCTTTTTTTTTTTCCAAAAAAAGGAAAGAATTCCTCTCTTTAATTCTGCTTAACAAGCAATCTGGCTTTTGATATCAATGCACTGCCTTGTAACAAACTGTCTTTCAATATATGTTTTCCTTTTTTGGTTGTGGGTAGAAACTGTAAGTTGTTTGTAATTGTATGTTTCAGCAAAATGAATGTGGGACAGTTTCACTTGCGAAAGAGTATGATGGATTTCAGCTGGAAGGTGAGCTGTGCAAGTCTTATTGTCTGAAGAAGCAGGTAGTGTCATTTATATGGGCTGTTTGCAGGAGTATCATTCCTCAGGATTTACTTGGAACTACTTCTAATTGGAGAATTTTAAGGAAGCACATCTCCAGGTTTGTTCACCTTCGAAGATTTGAGAGATTCTCTCTAAAGCAATGTATGCATAAATTGAAAATATCAGGGTTCCCTTTACTATCAAATAAGCACTCTTCATGCAATTCGGGCAATCATGTGATGAGACAAGCAAAAGGACAGAGTGCAAATACGTATGACGGATGGAGCAGTATCAGTTTTTCTTCAGATACTATGAAGCATAAGGTTTTAGAAAGCTGGATCTTTTGGTTCTTTTCAAGTCTAGTAGTGCCATTGGTGCAAGCAAACTTTTTATGTCACTGAAAGTGAGCATGGGAAACAAGAGGTTTTTTACTATCGGAAGTCAATTTGGGAGAAGTTGATGAGCCGAGCCATCACTTGCTTGAAAAATCAGAGCTATTGTTTACTAGATGGTGAATCTCTTAGAAAAATTATTGGCAAAAGATCATTTGGTTTCTCGAGAGTCAGATTTCGTCCAAAAGAAATGGGGTAAGGGCACTAGCAAATCTCAAAGCATCATCAAGAATACCGGCAAAGCAACCCTCTTTTAGAGTTCAATCTTGTGGGCTGCAAGGAAAAGTTTCCTTGCATCCAAAAAGTGTTAAATATGACAATTTTAGGTCTGTGAATGGCGTACTTCGCGATTTGCATGTTGTCCTAAAAGGTATACAATTGAAAGAACCAGAGAAGTTAGGTTCATCAGTATTCGACTATAATGATGTCTTTAGAAAGCTGCACCCTTTCTTATCGGTTTTGAAGAGCAGATCGGGCACCATGCTGGTGTTTTCATTGTCGTCTCTGATGTATCAAAAGCTTTTGACTCTATTAATCAGGATAAGCTGCTTACTGTGATGAAAGATGTGGCACTGAAAGATGGATATCTTCTTAAAAAGTCTCATCAAGTTGTCTGTGCTGAAAAATCTTTATGGGTTCATCAGAATCTAATATT